TGTTGCTGTAGGACGTGACTCACCTGGTGGCCAGGTTGGAGAGAGCGCAAGTCGTAGTGACTGTGTGTAGTGAAACTGTTGTGTGTTGCTGTAGGAAGTGACTCACCTGGTGGCCAGGTTGGAGAGAGCGCAAGTCGTTGTGACTGTGTGTGGTGAAACTGTTGTGTGTTGCTGTAGGAAGTGAATCACCTGGTGGCCAGGTTGGAGAGAGCGCAAGTCGTTGTGACTGTGTGTGGTGAAACTGTTGTGTGTTGCTGTAGGACGTGACTCACCTGGTGGCCAGGTTGGAGAGAGCGCAAGTCGTTGTGACTGTGTGTAGTGAAACTGTTGTGTGTTGCTGTAGGACGTGACTCACCTGGTGGCCAGGTTGGAGAGAGCGCAAGTCGTTGTGACTGTGTGTGGTGAAACTGTTGTGTGTTGCTGTAGGACGTGACTCACCTGGTGGCCAGGTTGGAGAGAGCGCAAGTCGTTGTGACTGTGTGTAGTGAAACTGTTGTGTGTTGCTGTAGGACGTGACTCACCTGGTGGCCAGGTTGGAGAGAGCGCAAGTCGTTGTGACTGTGTGTGGTGAAACTGTTGTGTGTTGCTGTAGGAAGTGACTCACCTGGTGGCCAGGTTGGAGAGAGCGCAAGTCGTTGTGACTGTGTGTGGTGAAACTGTTGTGTGTTGCTGTAGGAAGTGAATCACCTGGTGGCCAGGTTGGAGAGAGCGCAAGTCGTTGTGACTGTGTGTGGTGAAACTGTTGTGTGTTGCTGTAGGACGTGACTCACCTGGTGGCCAGGTTGGAGAGAGCGCAAGTCGTTGTGACTGTGTGTAGTGAAACTGTTGTGTGTTGCTGTAGGACGTGACTCACCTGGTGGCCAGGTTGGAGAGAGCGCAAGTCGTTGTGACTGTGTGTGGTGAAACTGTTGTGTGTTGCTGTAGGACGTGACTCACCTGGTGGCCAGGTTGGAGAGAGCGCAAGTCGTTGTGACTGTGTGTAGTGAAACTGTTGTGTGTTGCTGTAGGACGTGACTCACCTGGTGGCCAGGTTGGAGAGAGCGCAAGTCGTTGTGACTGTGTGTGGTGAAACTGTTGTGTGTTGCTGTAGGAAGTGACTCACCTGGTGGCCAGGTTGGAGAGAGCGCAAGTCGTTGTGACTGTGTGTAGTGAAACTGTTGTGTGTTGCTGTAGGACGTGACTCACCTGGTGGCCAGGTTGGAGAGAGCGCAAGTCGTTGTGACTGTGTGTGGTGAAACTGTTGTGTGTTGCTGTAGGACGTGACTCACCTGGTGGCCAGGTTGGAGAGAGCGCAAGTCGTTGTGACTGTGTGTAGTGAAACTGTTGTGTGTTGCTGTAGGAAGTGACTCACCTGGTGGCCAGGTTGGAGAGAGCGCAAGTCGTTGTGACTGTGTGTAGTGAAACTGTTGTGTGTTGCTGTAGGAAGTGAATCACCTGGTGGCCAGGTTGGAGAGAGCGCAAGTCGTTGTGACTGTGTGTGGTGAAACTGTTGTGTGTTGCTGTAGGACGTGACTCACCTGGTGGCCAGGTTGGAGAGAGCGCAAGTCGTTGTGACTGTGTGTAGTGAAACTGTTGTGTGTTGCTGTAGGAAGTGAATCACCTGGTGGCCAGGTTGGAGAGAGCGCAAGTCGTTGTGACTGTGTGTGGTGAAACTGTTGTGTGTTGCTGTAGGACGTGACTCACCTGGTGGCCAGGTTGGAGAGAGCGCAAGTCGTTGTGACTGTGTGTAGTGAAACTGTTGTGTGTTGCTGTAGGACGTGACTCACCTGGTGGCCAGGTTGGAGAGAGCGCAAGTCGTAGTGACTGTGTGTAGTGAAACTGTTGTGTGTTGCTGTAGGACGTGACTCACCTGGTGGCCAGGTTGGAGAGAGCGCAAGTCGTTGTGACTGTGTGTAGTGAAACTGTTGTGTGTTGCTGTAGGACGTGACTCACCTGGTGGCCAGGTTGGAGAGAGCGCAAGTCGTTGTGACTGTGTGTAGTGAAACTGTTGTGTGTTGCTGTAGGACGTGACTCACCTGGTGGCCAGGTTGGAGAGAGCGCAAGTCGTTGTGACTGTGTGTGGTGAAACTGTTGTGTGTTGCTGTAGGACGTGACTCACCTGGTGGCCAGGTTGGAGAGAGCGCAAGTCGTTGTGACTGTGTGTAGTGAAACTGTTGTGTGTTGCTGTAGGACGTGACTCACCTGGTGGCCAGGTTGGAGAGAGCGCAAGTCGTAGTGACTGTGTGTAGTGAAACTGTTGTGTGTTGCTGTAGGAAGTGAATCACCTGGTGGCCAGGTTGGAGAGAGCGCAAGTCGTTGTGACTGTGTGTGGTGAAACTGTTGTGTGTTGCTGTAGGACGTGACTCACCTGGTGGCCAGGTTGGAGAGAGCGCAAGTCGTTGTGACTGTGTGTAGTGAAACTGTTGTGTGTTGCTGTAGGACGTGACTCACCTGGTGGCCAGGTTGGAGAGAGCGCAAGGTGTAGTGACTGTGTGTAGTGAAACTGTTATGTGTTGCTGTAGGAAGTGACTCACCTGGTGGCCAGGTTGGAGAGAGCGCAAGTCGTTGTGACTGTGTGTAGTGAAACTGTTGTGTGTTGCTGTAGGACGTGACTCACCTGGTGGCCAGGTTGGAGAGAGCGCAAGTTGTAGTGACTGTGTGTAGTGAAACTGTTGTGTGTTGCTGTAGGAAGTGACTCACCTGGTGGCCAGGTTGGAGAGAGCGCAAGGTGTAGTGACTGTGTGGAGTGAAACTGTTGTGTGTTGCTGTAGGAAGTGACTCACCTGGTGGCCAGGTTGGAGAGAGCGCAAGTCGTTGTGACTGTGTGTAGTGAAACTGTTGTGTGTTGCTGTAGGAAGTGACTCACCTGGTGGCCAGGTTGGAGAGAGTGCAAGTCGTTGTGACTGTGTGTAGTGAAACTGTTGTGTGTTGCTGTAGGAAGTGACTACCTGGTGGCCAGGTTGGAGAGAGCGCAAGTCGTTGTGACTGTGTGTAGTGAAACTGTTGTGTGTTGCTGTAGGACGTGACTCACCTGGTGGCCAGGTTGGAGAGAGCGCAAGGCGTAGTGACTGTGTGTAGTGAATCTGTTGTGTGTTGCTGTAGGAAGTGACTCACCTGGTGGCCAGGTTGGAGAGAGCGCAAGTTGTAGTGACTGTTTGTCTCCTGACAGAGTTCCCGCGACTCCACGACCACGCTGTGCTGATCCTTAGGAGTGTCACGAATGTAAGTGGTAGTAATTAGTAATGTGAATGCTGAATCTCGTATCCACTGCATCAGGAAAGATTTGAGTTTCAGATCCGACCGGATATTTGAGAATTGATCATCAAATCCTATCTAGGTACATCTGCTTTTTGTTCTCGCTTCCCATGCCATGTGTGTGTTTGGTAAACGAAATACATATGGGGTCTTTATTTTTAATACAATTAATTAGTATTAAAATACATTGTCTTTCATTTCTGTGTTTTATTTTATTTTTTTTTTTTTTTTGTAGGGTTGTTATTGATAATATTTTTTTGTGGTACACTACTCTCAATATAATTGTGAATGTAGTAAATTATCTTGATGTCCCTGTGATCATAATTGATGACCACGGAGGCTGCGAGGTCATTGTAGATGATTGATTAGTTGCTGCAATTCTGGCGTAAGCAGTTGTTTACAAAGTTTTAATAATTTATTTACAAAAATTAAATCATAGTGGGATTTAAATTTTTACAGTATATTATGTAATATCTATTACATTAAAAAAAGACGTACTTATATTTGAGCTATAAAAACCTGAATTTTATCATCAATGTTGAATTTACTGCTAGATTCAGTGGTTAATATATGTTTGCAGGGCATAGATTTACCAGAAGATCTTGTGAGACGTATTGTAGAGGTGGAAGTTGTTGCGAGACTTCACAACTCACCGATATTCTCCAAACTTATGGAGTCTCTACGAGAGTTGGATACAGAGGTACAACAACATGCAGCAAATCAGCTGAGAACATTGAGACTGACTGCGGAAGCTGATTCTCTTCTAACTACCTAGCTACTGGGTCATCTCTCTGCCTTACTCGTTATTGTTTTATAAATGTTTATCTCTACACAAAAGTTATTTATTGAAAGTTGGATTTTGAAGTTTTTTATTTCCTGGTGCTCCTTAACTCTCAGCAAAGCACTTCTATCCTCAAGGCAAGTGATCATCAGTTCATAGGTTTTTATATACTTGATAAACACCATCATCGAGCACCTGTGTCACGATTTAGACCATGCTGATGGAATACAGTCTAGCTGGAGGTTAAAAAGTTCTCCTTGATAATATCACGGTCTTAAACCAATTGCAGTCACAAGGCTGGCCACTTGTGTGCGTAAACTACCTACTCTCCCTTAAAAAAGGTAGTTGTATTGTAGTTCTCGTTCTCATCTTAGTGCAACCCATTAAAATTATATCAGTACAATTCATTGTACTGAACCAACTCAACTATGCTCTACTACTCTCCATGCACATGTGGACAGGCAAATGCAAGGCTTAAAGAAATTGCCAACCTCTTTGATCGAAAATAAACGGTTCCTGCAATCTGACTCATAATATCTTCCTTTAGCTTGTCAACAACCCTTATGCAATGGGAGTAACTATGATATTTGTGGGGAAAATCACAAAAGCTACAACAACTTTTGAATTGTAATTTTTGTCAGTATTGGTAGATGTACAATTTTGTGTAGGGTTGAAAGGACCACAACGTGCTAAATTTATATAAAAATCACTGAAACCATAAAAATCTATTTTTTTTTATAGGTTTTACAGAAAAATTACAATCAAATTAAAAATTTCCAAAATACCTGAAGATACCATTGATTAGTAGCCACACACAAAATTTCACTAAAATCAGACTTTCAGGTGTTAAAAATACCATAGCTCTGTACACATACACCCACACCCAAGCATACACACATATAGACACCACTTTGGAAACTTTCACAAAAACAATACTTTCTCCAAAATCTATCAATAGGGGGATAAAGTATAAAAGGAAACAAAACACAGGACAAGGTTTATCTTTATACTTGACAATGTAATTGTTAAGGGTCAATACAAGTTGTAGTTGTGGTATTGGTTGGACTGCATGTTGGGTATCCTAACTCCGGTGTGAGGTGAGAATGTGCTGGCATCACACGCTGGTGGTCGCGAGATACATTCGTAAGTCCCACACTCAGACCTCGGACAATCGTCCTGCAATGACATAGTTGTATGAAATTCACAAACCTTAAGTCTTTTAAAATACTAAAATGTAACTAACATTGAACATATTTTTAAATCACACAAGCTTTGTTCTCAAAAAGGATTTTTTGTTTTTAATATTCACTCCTAAAAATAATAAATCAAGACTTGCGTCTAGGTGAGCAGATTTGCAAATGGACTTTAAATATTAATATTTGATTCAAGTCGTAACACTCTGTACAAAAAACATACCTGTTTGTAAATTTTTCTTATTTCCAATTTTAAGTTTAGAAGCCTAGATGTATTTGCTTATCCACTAAAAGCAAACCCATCTGTTTTGTTTGGTTTTAACAGACATGAATAAACTATATCTAGTTTGTCTTCTTAAAGCATGAAATGTTACAGATACTTTAATACTTTTTAGTGAAATGGCGACCATACAAAGTACTAGGTAGATAAGCAGTGATGTAAAGTTTCAAACTGGTTATCTTAGTTTTGTTGTTACGGTAAACCACAATACCTGTAAGCCATTCCTCTTGTAGCAGTCGCACCCAATGTGGAAGAAGCCACCTCGCAATTCTTGTGATCGATCCCGAGGCTTGAACCAGGGAGGACTTGGCTGCATGTAAGTCATTATTGAATTAGAATTATTGCTTTGTTGAATTTTAAAACTATCATTTGGTAAGAATCGGTTGAGGGGTAGGTATAGGTTGAGAATAGATTGGGCTAGGAGAGCTAGGACATCAGTCACTACAAGGTGTCATCTTTCCAGTCAAGAAACAGCACTTTGGTTTGTGGCTATATGATGGTCTGAACCTGGACCCAGCTGTCCCTGATCATTGGGTTTCAAATTATCCTGGCCAAAGAACGAGATGATAGTCTGTAACCAAGCTGTCATCTGATTCAACACCCATTCTCAATCATTGTTTTAAATACATACAGAACTTAAACTTACTTCCTAATTAAAACATTTTCCTCAGCTAAGAAGTTTCAGATTGCTATAAAAATTTTGTACATCTGACAAAGTATGCAGTTTATACTCGTTGGACATTGTCTTTGTACCATTGTAAAAAAAATTATGAAGAATTTTTGTCAAAAAATTCCATCCATCAATCTAACAACGAACACAGGAGTGATCAGAACTGCTTTTTAAATGTTGCCTTGGTACCTACATTGGATACACAAGCTTCGGTTGACATGCTGGGACCCTAAGTTCGCCCCTCCTACAATACAGTACCTACCTGGGAAAATTTACATGACCTTCCAGAATTATTTAAAGTTATAATAAATAATTTCAACTTAATAAAAAAACTGAAATAGGCCTACCATCCCATATTAATGCATCCTTCCTCCCTAAATGGTCTTCTAAATTAATACGTCAAGTATTATGTAGGCTATTGATTTTGAAAAAAATAATTTAGCATTTTAAATGGTGTTATTTGTTTTGACATGTCATATGTTTATATGAATAGTAACAGACAAATAAACATTCCATTTGAACGTTGATGCTACTGCACTTGTAGTGATGATTTTGTCACTCACATATCTGTCAAACTCCTCCTCAGCATGGACCTTTGTTGTGTCTGTGACCTCTCGACCGTCCATGGTCACCTTAGGCTGCTGTGTCGCCCCTCGCCCTCGTCTGTTGGGGTTGACTCCGGGGGGCACTTGGGACATCCTGGGTGGGAACACCCCCAGGCAGGGGTTGGCTTCTTCTTGCTTACCTCTACGTTTGAATGGGGAGTCCCGACAACACTCATCACAGCATCTGGAAACATTTAGCCAAAGTTGGTAGACAAGTATGTGTTGGCCCAGAAGAATGAACAGTTGTAAAATAGTTTAATGGAGTTGAAACAAAGCAATATGAAAATCTTCTGAAAACGTCCACTTACAGTAATCCCTCATACTTTGTATAGTTTAGACCAAAGATGAATGATTTTAAATTCCTTATTGCTGGATTACCTACTCATTACAAACCCCAATGGATAAGGATAGCTGGCTCTGGGCTGTATTTAGATGTTTAGCCCTTCTAAGAGCTTTGCCCAAAGGTGTTTGTTTTCTTGTAATTTATATTCATTATGGCTGTTAGACTCTTTGGTGACTACATTTTCTGCCAAGTTTGATCTGCAGGTGCAAAACCAATGGAAATATGGGCCTGATCTGGGCCCAGTCTCAAACTGTCAAAAGGTGCTTGAAACTTTCTCATCGTCAAACTTAGTACAATGTGACTTCTCTAAGTATTCTGTTACCCATCAATTTACAAGATGTTCATATCCTACTCATGTTGAAAACTACCTAATATCTTACCCTTTGTCTAGTTCATTGGCAAGTTGTTTCAGTGTTCCCAAAAGATGTTTTCGACTTTCCACACATACCGAGGGTGCCTTCTGACCGCAGTATTCAGTGTTTGACATGTTTGTGTCAGTGTGGGTTATGAACAAAAATTTAGAATGAAATTTGTAAGAATGTTGTGTTGAGATGTGATGAAGTGTTGTTTGTTGCTACATGGAAATAATATTTGGTGTTTACATAATGTCAGCTGTAAATTAATTTAATAACAAACTAATAAGTCTAAGTGCACCTAAACCATATGAGTTAATTACATATTATTTCAAATAACTGTTCTACTATTTTTATTCCTTTGATTTTAAAACGCTTTTATATATTTCATATTCAAATTGAAAGATTTTACTATAATCTAACTGCCGTCATGCTACTGTATATATTAAAATGATCTACCATTTTAATTGTTTCATTTAAACTTGTTATGGATTCAAACAAGATTTACTGACAGGGAATTGCTCTATTTGCTAAGTTCATAGAAAGAGGTTATTGATATTTGATTTTGCCCATTCATACCTAATGATGGTGGCTTGGAATAGTTCCAGAAGCTATAATCCAATTATTTTGTCACCTCCAAATAATATGTAGATAAATTTGCCGTACAATGTTACTGCAGCCACCCAGGGATGGACTTGAATATATTTTACCACGAAGCATGTTACTTTGAGCGAGAGCCGCACCTTCCACCAATTAGGTTGTCCATAGGCAGAGCAGTAGATTTGGAGAGAAAAGGTTACCGCCTCTTCTTTGATATCAATGCCAGCCGTTGCTAATTCGCCATTCTTGGTTGCCACGCCTTAAAATTATCTGATGCAGTTGCACGTAGCCGTAACCTTCATTGTGTCAAGCTGTAAGCCCCTAGACGAAAATCAAATGTATTCTTTATCTGTTATTGTGTTGTTTCCACCCAACAGTTTCTAGTTTGTCATAGATGTATTCACTTCGCTGTTAGGATCTGAAATCTTTGATGCCTCATATTGTATCCATCATGAAGTTTCATGTACTCATAGTTGATACAGTTTGGGGTTTTAACAAACCTTCCCTTCTGAACACTTATATTTGGATAATTGAAAATTGTGAACTTAAAAAAATATGCCTTGACAAGTTCGTTTAATGTTCTTTTGTGATGATGTTTTTGTTTTTTGGAACAAAAGGGTTCACTTTGAAACTGGTTTTGGCTTAGGGTAACATGTTGGAGATTCCAATAGCCAAAGACTAATTAATTTAATTAGAGGCCTCTTTTGTGAGGAAGAGTCTGACCCCTTTGGTTCCTATGGCAAAACAACTCTCTTCAGAGTTGGGAACCAAAGAGTACCAAAGCTCATGCACAGATTCATCAATTATTATGTAAATTAAAGAAAACATAGTACTTTTAGTTACTTTATTATGTCCTTTACCATCTCTCTGATCATTTTGACCTGGCTATAAAACAGCACTTGCCCTTTTCTGGGTCGCTGGGAATATGAAATCCCTCCCGATGGGACTGGCCCAGACCTGTGGCTGTATGGTCGTGGCCAGGCCAGCAGCCATTACTGTGGTCGGGCTGGTGCCAGATGTATTGACCTGGTGGCTCTTGCACATTTGTTTGAGCACCGCCTACGCTCTTTTCCTGATTCCGAGCTCCTTCTGTCCCCGGATAGTTAGGGATTCTGGATACTTTGAACTTCAATGATTCCTGACAGCAACCGGGTTGACAACAGCATTCTGAACCCTAAAAATTTTTGAACATGTTTAAATCTGGTATAGTACATTAAAACTAACTACGATCTCTACGCGAACGCTAGATATTGATTTGAGTCGATTGCGGTGCTAATGATTCTGGATTATCTCAGCAAAAATCGTTTTGGATATAAGAAGATCCTCGAACCTTCTAACCTAACCTCATTTACATCACCTTCATTTGTATAAAGTAAATTTTAATAGTGGCAGCCATCTTCTAAAAATGTCCTTTGACTCCTCCCTCAAATCGATAACAGCTATGTGCTGATGCCTTCAAGGCAAATAAATATACCCTTATGTTGAAAATCATAAATCCAGTATACTACCGGTATGAGTATAATGATACGGTAATGTACGATACTACTCCACTTCTTTATGTTCTAATTTATCAATATTTAGTATGACTACTATGAGGTTTGAAGCAGATGTCCTGTCGTGCTATGCATGGGACAAGTTCGTGTTCCCCTAGATAAGGAAAAAGGTTCACTTGAGATACGTGACTATTGACTTACACTAAGTCATCATTGTTATTGTAACTTGGCGGTGTTTTGTTATAAAAACATTTCCTATATAACTTTGTATCGTGTTCCTTAAATAATACATTTTCTATGATGACTTTGATATTGTGTATACCTATTAGGCCTAATACAATAATTAAAAATGACTTGTGGAAAATGGCATATTTTTTAAAATTTAACTCAATGTATTGGTCAATTTTTAATTTTTTATGATTTATATGGGGTTCCAAACTGCTGTCAAGGCAAAAGGTAAAGAGGATCTTCAAATTTTTTTTACAAATTAAATGTACAGTTGCAATCAAAGACTTTTATGATGATGATCGTTTTCTAAATAAATAAATAATAAACTTACGTAGACGGTACCTTGACATTTTGTTAAAATAAAATTTTCTGTTGAAATGGCTATTAGGTACCTACAGTATATTTCTTTGAGATGGAAGCTAAAAAAAGACACAATTCCTATAAGCGATATCTGCTATACTCCGTTCACAAAATTTAAGCGGGAAGGTTCCTCCACCTTTGAGGTAAATATTTTAACATTAACAAACAATTATTGAAACCGACAATCAGCTGCAATACACATTAAGCAAAAAAGTGGTGGCGGAACTTCCCCCTCAAACCACCAACATTTTGTGAACAGACTATAGTAATCACGCTCTCTTTTAATTCGTAGTAAACTTACATTTTTCAAATTATTATTTCCAACTTTCTTTTGCCGTGGTTCAAAAGGATTGCCATTTTCTCTGGCAAATCGACCAGCTCCTTGATCACAGTCTGATTTTAATCTGAAAATAAGATTGATAAATATTTCTGGCAAATAAATTTACCAAAAATCACAAGCGCTTATTTGCTAACGTTGCTATTCTGTGGATTGTTGCAATGCTAAAAGCTAAAATCAATTAATTGGAATTTCATTTTCAAAGAGCTGGTTAGCCTCCGTGTTACTGCATACTTAAAATGGGTTACAATACCTGCATCTAGTAATCATTTGTTGCTGTTTTGACAACTACTTTTGGTTCATCTGAACCTTCATCAGGCCTTAGTCATTGTGCCTTTGTGTGTTTGTTTTTGTAAATATGTCTATTCTAGTTGTCTTGTCTTGTAAAAAATGTTTTATTTATTGAACTCTAAACTCCTTCAGTCGCAGTGATAAGTGATTTTATACTTGATACCTTGAGGCCTGAAGATGGTTCAGGTTCAGAAGAATAGTTGCCAAAACAGCAACAAAGGGTTAGTATATACTATATAAGGAGGTAAACCATTGGAATTGTAAAATTTAGTTATGTGGACGAGTTGAATAATTTAAATTGAATTACACATACAAAAACTTACGATCGGTCGAGATCTTTTACAACATCATGTAGCCTACAGACAAACTCTTGCCTCCTGCATTGTGGTTCTGATTTACCCGCCTTTTTCATGTTTGTTTTTGCAAAGATAATCAAATTAAATTTATAATTTTTGATTATTTTATGAATAAATACTTAAAATTTAACTTGCAAAATTGATCTTGAATCTTGAAATAAATATTTACATGGTTACATTGTTATTGGCAGTATGATTTGCCATATGGTAGAATTTTGGTAAATATACACATTTGAATTTTTATACAAAATTAGAGAAAAAGTCAGTGTCATTTTACTACACTGAATATTCCAAGTTATACTCATATAATTCACTTAATTATATATTTTGGTTTTTTCTTTTAGCAATGCCTGTATTATTTAAGTTTTTCTCCTTTTATTATATGTGTGTTTAAATTTTATGTAATCATGCCATTGACACCATCCTTGTATCCTACTATGCATAAATTAATAAAAATGTTTTCAATTGAAATGAATATACCTTATGGATCATCTGAAGACTTTAAATATATGCCCAGAGCTCGGTTTGTATACAGATCGTGAATTTTATGTATTTGTTGTTATTTTACCAAAAGCAAAAAGCAAACATTTTTTATTTGAGAACCTCTTTTCTTTGTTTGCTCTCCTGTATTATTTATTACTAAAAGCACTAAATTTCAATCTATTGCAAAAAGCTGTTGTAAAAATGTTAAACCGGCTAAAACCGGATGTATCCCTACAAATGCCCTGGAGATATTTTGTTCCTTAGGTCAAGACAATACAAAACCATCAAGCATGGATCCAAAATGTCTGGTTTTCTGTCTGTATACAATAATACACAGTTCTTATAAACCTACAATTTTTTACTTCAAACCTAATAAATGTGTAGATAGAAACAATCTTTATACAGTACAAAGTATGAAATTGTATTCACCTTTTGTAAATCCTAAGCACTTATCACCCAGCTGTTCCCATATTCAAATTCAGAATAAGTAAGAAAGTTTCAATCAATTATCAATCATTGAGATGGGGACGCCTATGTGCTTTTTTACCCCAAAAATATGAACGAAGCATGAGTGTATAATGTATAATGTTGTGAGATGATCTGTGTAGCTTTGTTACTGACTAAGATCAGCTGTTTCATTAGTCAGGATCATTTATTTATTTAAAGTCCAACCACAACAAAATTCTTTGATTTTTACCCGACCCAAATATTATCATTTGAATCAATCTGGGCTTAAACATGCAAAATATAACATGCTTCAATAAAAAAAAAAAATTTAAATGGTTCCTAATGAATTATTTGAATAAAAACAAAATATTCCCTGTATAAGGAAACTGTGAAAATAGCGAGACTGCATCAAGGTCGTGAGAATCACAGCTGTGGTGAAGGTGTCGTGTTGGAGAGAAGGAAACTTTTGCATGTCTGTCTATCAAACTGCAAGTGCTACCAACTGTCCATCAAGACAGAAAGTGCTGCCAACTGACAAACAGCATACTACTTAAAGTGACGAATATATACACGCAATACCTTGCATACTTCAACAGTGCAATGCATGCATCTTCAAGTTAAAAAGATATCGGTCAAGTTTCATAACTGGGAACTGCCATTATGCAAACTTTAGACTATTCACTAGGCATATTTTTTTACTATTTTTATGGAGAAGAAAGTTTTTGGAGTACATTTTGATGGCAATACAATTCCATTATCTTGTTTTCATAAACTTTATGTTGATTGAACAATGTTAAATGATATTTTTCTGTCATTATTTTTACATCAGCCAGAAAGTAAAATAGATTATTTACCATGGGAAATTCGCTACAATTTGCACAATTTTATGAAATATACTGTAGACAGTGTGGACGTCAAATGTTGACCACACTGAACATTATTTTGACATAAATTTCCCATAATATTGTTGTCTTATAAGCTAACTAGCTGTTGTACCCGTGCATTGCAACGGGAAGAGGACACAAAATAGAAACATTTTAATCTTTACACCTGTTGCATATAATAGTTACACATCCGCCAACGCTTTTAGAAACAAAATTCAACTTTTATGGCCTTTAGAAACGGTTAAGTTATGACTTTTAAATCTGGTAAGTAGTGGATATCACCATTTTGGTTTTGATTAATTTTAAATCTTGTGTAGTAGAAAAACTGACCAATCCTTCAAATAAAACTTTGACATACATGATTTACCTTAACCTCCCTTAGTTACATATCTTTTATTTTATTATTGACATTTTAAATTACAATTTTGAAGTTGCAAAAATACTAATAATTAAATTTAAATGAAAATTATTTTTTTTATATCACTCTTTATATTAAATCACAAATCCTTCCATCTTCAATTTCTTTTATCACAATAAATCAATAGCAAAACTAAGTCAGCTGTTATAAACTTTAGAAATATTGCTGTGCCTTATCAATACAGTCTTTTGAAATATTAAAGAAATTATATCTATGAGTACTATAAAAAAAAACAAATAATTTAGCATTAAAGACAGCATACAAAACTAATATGATTAACAAAGCATCAAGGACTAAAAAATGTAATAACAAATACAGTATATGTTTCATTGCATCTCTGATTCTACTCTACAAAAATATCAACAAACAACTTAATATAGGCCTACGAACCAGTTCTTTTAATCAGTTCCATCGTCTATTGCCTTTACATTTTCACACTTACCATTAAGTAAAAATAGTAACAGATATTTCATTGATTTTAGAAACAAAAGAACACTGTGTACTGCTTAGTTTTATGATATTTTACTTGGTTTAAATTAATCAGTGGTGTGGCAAAACACAAATAATAAATGTATCAAATAAAGTAAATGTGAACTGAAAGCTATGTTAAGATAAAATAATAGTATTTTGTATTACCATTTGATAATTAAATATAGTTACACATATACAACAGATTTTAGAAAACAAAAATCAACAAGTACAATTTAGTCATTGATGATATTTTTTAGTTTAATTTAAGCATAGGTTTAGCAAAACACAAATACTCAATTTACTTAAATATCCCTATAAAAACAATGTGATGTGCAAGTTATGTTAAGTTAATCTAACACATGTTAAGCAGTTAGAATTTATTTAAAGTAGCCTCCAAATTCATACAAAACATCTAAACATTGTAAATTTCATACTGTTTCCATGAAAACTTATCAATAACATTATTTTCATAACTTAGACTCTTTAAAAAATCCAAAGCAGAGCCGGAGTTGATACAGCAACGGTTATAGAATCTTTTTCCTATAATCATTGACAAAGTTTTAGAATAAATAATCCATGGGAAAACCTTTGATTAAAATACACCTACCTCATAGTTATGGAAAAAATATTATAATTAATTTCTTTGTATCAGCTGTCTGAAATTGTGAAAAATGCAGTTAAGCAGTTCTTCTTGTTTACATTTAAATGTCAAAGCAAATGTAAACAAACATTGTTAGTGTTCTCATCGCAGCCATGGAGACCAATCAATATTTACTTTTAAAATGTTTACCTCAGAACGTTTAAAGCCAAAGGGGCAAAGCCTACAGTCAGTATCGAAATGTGAATAGTCCTATAATGGTCCTTGGTATGGTAGCTATATTTTTGTAAAATTTAAGCCCAGTTGGTTCAGTAGTTTTTGCACCTATTAGTAACACACATACAGACAGACACCATTAGATTTTTATATAATAGTATAGATTAATTGTTGTCTTGAGAAAAATAATGATAAAATTTAAGTAAAACGTACATAACTCAAATAAAACTTATGTAATATTGAAGATCAAAATAGAGTAAAATTTACATCAATCTGATATAAAATTAATAATATTTTTTTATGCATTTGCTTAGAGTAAGTTCAAGTTTGTTGGACTGCAAATTGGATGTCCAAGCTAATCTTCTGTGACATTAAAACTGTTATTAATGTGAGTAAAAACAATTACCATAAATAAATATGTTGCAACCAGCTGGTTACACCTTAGCTCCAATGTGTCATTAAAATCATAACACAAGCTTCACCTAGCAAAAACACTAAACATGAAATAAATAAATTACACTACAATTTTACTAACAACACCCGATTTAAAATAATTAAAATTCAAGTTTGATATACTGGTGCATTTTGTGGTAGATATTGGTAACTTATCATTGATTTATTATTATTTAAAACAACATAAAAATCCATACCTTACATTTTATTTTGCTGTGACGATTTTGGCAGAACCAGGAGAGCTAAATAAGGTAGGTACCTAAGTGGTAGAGTCCTTATACATTTATTCCTAAAGATTGTGTTTCTAATTTGAATGAATTTATTTGCAAGTAATTGCAAATCTATGAGTAAGTATTAAAGTAAATAATTGAGAAATAGCTGTTGACTTTAATCAGTAATATTGTGAGAATTCACTTCCTACAACTAGAAACTTCAATTTATTAACTCTGGTATTTTAGTTTATCGAAACACGACGGAGAAGATACAACAGAATTTAAGGTAACTATTTAATATCAAATTATATTTAACCTACTGATAACTACATTTTGATTACAGACGGGATCTGTTGGTCCCACAATGAGGAAATGAAAAGTTTTCTTACTAAACAAATCACTAGGAAAAACTTTAAAATATTTTAAATGATTTTTAAACACAGAATGTGCCAAAACCAGAGAATCATTAGCTCAAATCTCACATTATTGTCAAATACAAACATATGTCATATTATACATTAAAGCTCTTGTTAATACAAACATGTAGGTGTAATCATAATTTGATCATTTTTATCAAATTAAAAATAGCAGCTCTTTATGTAAAAAATGTGGTACTTTACTACTATATTTAATACCCTATATCTTTTGAATATGCAGATATCATTAGGCCTACTCTGATTTAAGTTTTGCATTCATTATGCGCTGCACAATTTAATTTAGATACAATATCATTAAATAAAAAATGTTCCAAAAAATTATTTTTTGAAAATATTTATTTCTTTTTAAACGGTTTTTTATTTGTTTTTAAAAGGTATGACAATTCCAAGCAACTTTTAAATTTAAACTTCATCCCCTGACTCTATAAGTTTTAGAGTTATTTTTAAACTAAATAATGGTTTCCACATACAGGGTGTCCTATAAGTAAACATCCAAACACCAGAAAATGGTTCTATGGTTTAAAATAAAGAGAAAATCAAGAATACCGGTAACACTTTTTATTTTGACCCATAGAACCGATCTCCAGAGTTTGGCTGTTCACTTACGGGACACTCTGTATAAAACGCATTTGGACACAGTGACACCAAAAATTATGATTAACATGATTTACGTGATTCACCCTGTGCAAGTTTAAAATCATTATTAATTGAAAGGTGCATCTATGTACCACACTCTGTGGAATCTAATGGTTCGCACCTCACATTGTCAACCATTGACAGTGGGGTGAGGGGGTGGCCTTGATATTCATATCACCCCCTGAATGTGAGACATGCAATATGATTGGAAGGGGTGAAGGCCACCTGTTGAACATATGCTACTCAATCCCTTTCCAAGTTTTAGTTTTCATTTTTTTACATTTTGCATCTTTCACCAAAATGTTTCTACAACTGTTGTTTACTATTATTCCAAGTTTTATGAATGTGTTGTACTTGTTTCAACATTAACAAATTATTTTCTATTATATTTTTATTGTGTTTATATAGTTGTTGAATTTAACGTTTCCTTTTATCTGGTATTATTACATATGATACTTAATATTATATTTTATGGTGGTATCGTTGTTGTTACTCTTAAACAATATTTTGGTACCTAGTTTAGCTTAAACCGGAGTTCAGTCATGATATTTAATATGACCAAAGAGATTGCTGCAATTTTAAAAGCTGTAGCCTATTTAATCAAAGAAACTTAATTAAACCTTTTGTTTTACAAAGTCTACTCTGTAACAAAAAGAATTAACAAAGTTATTGTCACGTTTATAAAAGTTGTAAAATGTTCAGTTTTCCCCCACCTGTAACTTGATCATCTACCGAAAAAACTTGACAGTTCCCTTTTAAAACGTAAAAAATGCCACTGGCGTAGAAACATAAATAAAACCCAAAACACGATCAATAAATTGGTTAGTCGGTGTCTCAGTCGGTAAAAACCATGGCTTTTGGACCCAGGCAGCGATGTCGTGGGTATGGATGTATGTATTGCATTAGGTGTACATAATATAAATTAACGCAACCAGTAAAGATATCTATTTTACAAAAGTAGTTCTTGAAAGAAATTTTTAAACAACCCAATTGAACACAGAACAGTGGCGGATCTAGAACAGTCACAAGGGGGGTCTGGTGGGTTCGGAGGTACCCCCCTAAAAATTGGTGTAAACTAAGTCTCCAAAATGGCAGTATTATACCATTTCTTTGTCCAAAGTTAGTGTGACAAATTATTTTAGGCAATATGTATGCACTACTATGTATTACATGCAGTACAAAATATATATATGTATACTCAAGGGGCGGCGGTCGCCCAATTCGCCCCCCCCCCCCCTCTGGATCTGCCACTGACACAGAATCAAAATGTGTCATAGTAATTAACATTATTGTAACCTCAAAAAAAGAATAAAACAATCTATATGCAAATTCACTAAACTAAACTATGTCCTAAAAGAATCCAAATCAGTGTTCAATTCAAAATACCATCCAGACTCAATTGACAAGTTTACCTTGAAAGTTTACCTCAAAGTTTAACTTATTTGCTGAATATCCAGAAGATGGAATTGATCCTTTTTACAAGGAAAGAAAGAGACTCACTCTAGAAACTTAGCAAGCTCTAGGCAAAACCAGAAACCTAAACTTTACCATGTAAATTGAGATTATTTAACAACCCTCCACTTAAGAGCCTGACCATGTAACAATTAAAAGAAACGATTAAATAATAAATAACAGAATTACCATCAATTTAGACTTTAAAAATAAAGAAATTATATATGCACTTGTAGAAATAGATGTACCTTTGAGAACAAAAGATAAAAACCAGCCACAATGAGTAATAAATTTAGAACTGGAAAAATGGGCAGACAATTAACAAATGTGATTTTCAGAAGATCGCTTTTCCATCCAGGATTCTGAGGATGTGTTTCAGACATCTGATCGTGTACACTGGAATGACAATGTCAGTATCACAGTATTATGGAAGGTGTGGTGATGGTGTAGGGTGTGAGGTAGGTGGTAGGCGTGTTACAGTAGGGGTAGGTCAGTCCACCACCACCCACCACATGAGTTTCATTCCCTCAGTATGGGTTAGTATTTTGCACACTGAATTGCTGCTGCTCTGCTCTCCAGTGTCCATGCCGGGGGTAACAAACCGTAGTTTAAGTTATAACAAGTTGTTGCTGGTTTTTATTCATGCTGAAAAATGTTATGAACTTATTGCTCATTGAGTTTGTATTTTGAAAGGCATTGATTTAGAATTTCAGCTTGCTAAGTAATATTGTTAGGCATTTTAAATTTGTTTAGTCCTATAAATCAATTCTTCGACTCATAATAATACAATATACCTACAATTGACAATATTAGAAATATTATTTTTATAGCTGTTTGTGTATTACGAATATTAACGATTTTAATACCTTGAGTAATCTTAAAACTACAGTTAACTATGTATTTTAGTAGGAAACAGGGCTTCTGAATTACGTTCTGTTAATCTCACATATCTCTACAGACAATAAAATGATGACTTGCTAACTTGTTATATATGGAGTTTAACTCTTTAAATGAGTTTGCGAATTTCTTTATTTAATCGTAAAATGTTTAAAATGAATTAAAACAAGATTGGTTTAGGTATCCGCATATAAAAAACTTTAGTAGTATAGTCATTGAGACAAGTTTTTTTTTACTAAATGTCGATCAATGTGTAAATTTCCGGTTTGCAATAAAAGGAAAATAATAAGTTTCCTGTTACTGTTATCTAAGTAGAAAATGTCATTGAATCCACTTTAAGCAGCTCCTAGACCAAATTCCAGAAGTTTGATATTTCACCATAAATATTTCTTTTCATTTAATACTTAACATATATATTTCTTTAAAATAAATAGTTAAAAGATAAGCAATTAAAAATGACTTCTTAACTTAACAGCCTTCAAGTACAAGTGTATGATGTAAGTATATAAATATAAAAATAAGTGAATAGGGAAAATAAATAAGTATAAATGCATACTTTTTAATGGATTAATAAATTTTAGTTTATTAAATAATTGTCCATACATTATACTTTTGACTTCAGTATCCAATATTCAATGATTATAGTCACCATAGATTGAAGAGCAGACAGCTGCATTAAACTAACACTGACCCACTTAAAAGTCAAAGATAACAGCAGATGACCTTGATTGGGATTTCTGTAATTAATTTGTGAAACCATCAATGCTGTATTTGAAAACTACCCATTACAAAATTCAATTTTTACAAATCGAATGAATTATCTCAACAGGAAATAGTTTCTTTTGCAGGATTTCATGTGATTGAATAAATAACTTCTTGATTTAAATTTTATGTGTTGGCGCTTTTATTTTATATGGATACAAGAGGTTCTACCCGCGAATTCACGGGCGTACAGAAGCCACCATTAAATTATTTTAATCAACTTTGACTTTATATTTCATTTAATAGGCCCAAGTTCGAGGAATTCTCATCTGAAAGGATGTTAAAAGCAGTCATACCTTACGTCCTAAGGTGGCCGAGGTGGGTACGGTTGTACCTGAACTCGCCGCTCTCTTTCACGATGTATGATGTTAGTGTTTATAGAAACACCAACAATGAAATCGGCTGATTTAGTGATTTAGGGAGCGGAAATTGTCATTCCCGCTCCAGAGGGAAAATGAGCTATTCTGCGTTATGTTTATAGGTGTGGCGTGATATTCCATCCCGTGTGGAGTTGCTGATCTCCCAGCGGGCGCCTCCCCAGGTGGCGGATAGGGGAAAGCCTACCAGATATGGTTGGTACCGGGGAAATCAAATACCCGGGGCGGACCAAAAATCAGCACCGCTGCCTTGCGGATTGTAGTGGGAGCTTCAAAGGCTAGGGGAGCGACCCCAACAGAAAAGCGGCAAGTCTTGAGGCCAAGATGGCAGCCCCATCACCAGACTAGAGGTTCAGATGGCTAATAACCAACTAATCTCGAAAACAAATTTATTACTGAAACCAACGCTGTTCAAAGAGACCATGCCCTGACTGGCAGTGGACCTCAGGATCTAATTACTCGGACTATTCTCAGTAGCAAGGAGGTTATTGGAAATATGACGCCTAACTGGCCGATGCAAAACTCAACTGAATTGCTGCTAAAAACCAAGACTGTGACAAAAATAGGATGCTGGAATGTAAGGACATTGTATGCTCCAGGAAAGGCAGCACAGTTTGCTGCAGAAATGAATCGTTACAAGATAGATTTGTTGGGAGTGAGTGAAACAAGATGGACTGGATGTGGAAAGGTCAGACTTGCCTCTGGAGAAACGATTGTTTATTCAGGAAAAGTAGAAGAAAATGCAGAGCATCAATACGGAGTCGCTTTCATGCTTACGAAAAAACTTCAAGGTGCCCTAATGGAATGGGAGCCAATAAGCGAAAGAATAATAAGAGTGAGAATAAGATCAAAATTTAGAAACACAACTGTTGTAAACGTGTATGCTCCAACGAATGAAGCTGACTTAGAAGTAAAGAATGCCTTTTACGAACGATTACAAGCAGTGGTTGACAATGTTAGTGCTAGAGATCTACTAATCATCTTGGGTGATCTAAACGCCAAAGTGGGAAGCAGTAACGATGGAAATGAAAGTGTCATGGGAAAGCACGGAATCGGGGAACAAAGTGAAAATGGCCAGCTCTTTACTGAATTTTGCAGTTTGAACAATTTGGTCATTGGAGGAACTATCTTCCCACACAAACGGATTCATAAGGAGACATGGCATTCCCCAGATGGCAGGACTCGAAACCAAATTGACCATTTTACAATTTCCAAGAAGTGGAGAAGAACTTTAAGAGATGTAAGAGCATACAGAGGGGCGGACATAGGATCGGACCACATGCTGTTGGTAGCATCTCTCAAAATGAGAATCTTGAAAAGACAGATCGACAAAGTTTCAAGGAAGAAGTTTAATGTTGCTAGGTTTAAGGATGAAAATGTAAGATTGAGATACAATGCTGAACTAGAACAAAATCTGGAAGAGGCTAGTTTCACAGAATGTACTGACTTAGATGAAATGTGGAAGAAGGCAAAGGAAGCATACAAAAAGGCAGCTGAAGAAACAGTTGGGCTTAGGAAGAGAAGGAATGGCTCTCAGAGCAAACTTGGGATTTGGTGAATGAAAGAAGGGAACTGAAGAGAAGCTTATTGAATGAAAAAAGAGAAGAGAGAAAAATGGAACTAAAAGAGCAGTATAGAATGGTAAACAGACAAGTAAAAAGGAGTGCGAGAAGAGATAAAAGAATTTTTGAAGAAGATGTAATGAGGAGAGCAGAAGAAGCTGCAGGGAAAAATGATATGAAGACAGTGTACAATTGCACTCGGAGAATAGCTGGACAATCCCAGAATGGAAATAAACCCGTAAGAGACAGAAGTGGCAAAATGATAACAGATGAGCAAGAGCAGATGAAGGTATGGGTAGAACACTTTAAAAGTGTTTTAAACCGGGACCAAGATGGAGGCATGGATGAATTGACGGATGAGCGTTTACATGAGCTGAGGATAGAGACCGGAGAAATAACTAAACAAGAAATAAAGACAGCCATCAAAGAAATGAAGAACCACAAGGCCGGAGGAATAGATGAAGTACCTGCAGAGTTTTTCAAAAATAGCCCACGAATCTCAGATGAAATCATGTATAAATTGTTAAGAAAAATATGGGATGAGGAGAAGATACCTGAGGACTGGAGAACAGGATTGCTAGTCAAACTGCCGAAAAAGGGCGACCTTACACAATGTGGCAACTGGCGGGGAATAACTCTACTCAGCACTGCTAGCAAAATACTGGCTAAAGTATTACAAAGAAGAATTAAAGATCCTGTTGATAGGGTACTGAGGAAGAATCAGGCCGGATTCAGAGAAAGTAGAAGCTGCACGGACCATATAGCAACGCTCAGGATAATTATTGAGCAGTCAATTGAATGGAGAAACAAAGTTCACCTGCTCTTCATAGATTTTGAGAAGGCATTTGACAGTGCAAATCGTCGTGTATTATGGAGACTTCTGCAGAAATACGGTATACCCGAGAAGATAGTGAGAATGATAAGAGTTCTTTATCATGACTTTGAAATGAAAATCATACATCAAGGCATTATCTCGGAGGGGTTCGAATGTAATAGTGGAGTGAAGCAGGGATGCTCATTGTCTGGGACCTTGTTCTTGATCATGATTGACCATGTAATGAGGGAAAGCACCAAAAGAAGAACAGGGATTACTTGGAAAGTTTTTGAGCAGTTGGAGGACCTAGAGTTTGCAGACGATGTGTGCTTGATATCCGCAACGAGACAGCAGCTGCAGCAAAAGACAGAAAAACTAAATGAAGAGGCGTCAAAAATTGGTCTAAAGATTAACAAAAGGAAGACCAAGTACATGAGGGTCAATGACGAGACTCAAGGGGTAATTAGACTTGAAAATGAAGAAGTAGGGGAAGTTGAAGATTTTCTGTATTTAGGTTCAGTTGTAGATAGAAATGGGGGAACTGAAACCGATGTAGGCAGGAGAATAAATAGAGCCCTTGGAGCTTTCAGCATCCTCAATAAGATCTGGAGGTCAAACAGTTTTTCAATAAAGAGCAAGTTAAGGATCTTCAACTCAAATGTGAAGAGTGTGTTGCTGTATGGCTGCGAAACCTGGAAACTGAGTAAGGGGATAGTAAGCAAGCTGCAAACCTGTATAAACAAGTGCCTGAGAAGAATATTGAAGATAAGGTGGCCCGAAACCATAACAAACGAAGAACTATGGCGACGAACAAACCAAGAGCCAATCGATGTAGAAATAAGGAGAAGAAGATGGAGATGGGTAGGGCACACACTACGGAAAGGACATGATGATGTGGCGAAAGAGGCACTAGAATGGAACCCCGCCGGGAGCAGGAGAGTGGGTAGACCAAGGAAAACATGGAAAAGGACGTTGTTGGAAGAATTGAAGGAGAGAGGAAAGACCTGGGAGGGGATTAAGAGAGAAGCAGCCAACAGAGTGAGGTGGAGGGGAACAGTTGAGGCCCTATGCTCCAGGAGGAGTCAACGGGATTAAGTAAAGTAGTGATATTCCATGCAGTGGAAGTAAAAATAGATGTATCAACACGAAGATTTAAACTATTAACATTAACAATCAAATCCCTGAAAAAAATAATTAATTTGACAGCAAAAAATTACAGTGCAGTAACTATCTAACAAATAACTTTTATTAGAAAGCCTCATTAACTGATATCCCAATTTAAATTATATATGAGTCCAGAACCGATCCTGATGATCCAAGTCATACCAGCAACTTTCCGATGATCACTGTAAGCAATGGCTACTCATATGCTTTTATTTATAAAACTCATTCTTATCATGTTTTTGATACAGATTCCGTACCCACGCCCGTCACCAAGTGTGGAGCTGAGAGGCGGGCAGATATACAGCGGTTGTCAGTGTGTGAAACGGGACGGACTGCAACACGTGAGTGCCAATGTCTGACGATTAGCAAAAAGAGTTTTTAAGGGGACTAAGAGTTTAGTTAGCTAACCTGAGAAGAGTCTAAGGACTAATTGAGCAAAAAAAGTCCCGTAACATGTGACTATAAAGGTTTAACCATGTGGTATTAAATTATTTTGTTTTATTATTTTTTCATATCAATCTGTCAACAGTTGTTTTAGCTGTAATAGGGTAACATTTATTTCTAATTCAAACAATTAATCAGCTATCATTTTTCTATCCAGGACTGCCCCAGGACTGGATGTCAGGGTAGGGCTATATGTATGGCTTACCCAGCTCCTCTATGTGTACCTAGTGGCAATTCCCCTACACCACCATCTAAAACAGGGCAGAAAGAGGTAATAGTTATCTAAATTCTCTTACCACTTAACTAGACAGCGATGCACTTTGTCTATGTATTTTAAGCGGAAAGCGCACATGCATACAAGAGGTGTAAAACAGAGTGAAATATCCAAGGGCGCTTGCAGGAATTTTTTCAAGGCTGACAAACCAATCTTTTTCCAAGGGTCAGTGTAAAAGACCCTTCTCTAAAACATGTTAGCGTAAAACGCTTCCAAACATTAATCTTGAAGCATAGCAAATTTAAACTTAAGTTTTCCTAGGTGGGGCATGGCCCCGACTGGCTGGAGTGGAAATGGAGATGACCTTAACCATCTAATTGAACAATAGAGCTACAAAAATAATTTTTTGTAGGTATGATGGTTTTATGCACAATTTTAAATCTAAAGATTCTTATGGCTTTTACTGCTATTATTAATTTAAACTTACATAGAAAACAATTTCTCAAACTTAAGACCCAATTATTTTGTACCTAATATGGGAAGCCATGCCCTCACACCCCCCCCCCCCCTGGTAACCCCATTTTCTAGTAAAATGTATCAAAACATAGGTATTTTAAATATGATGGTTTTTGACAGAAAAAACAATTAATAAACATATTGGTGTATTGTTGTGTTGTAGATATATAAACTGACAATGTTTTGACCAGGTGTGGGCAAACGGGGGGCAACATCAAGCAGGAGCCGTAAGTAACGCACAAGAGAACTATGTCCGCATGGGAAGGCGGGGCTACCGGGAGAACCCCCCCGTGAAGCGACACCCCCGCCTGCCCTGCGACGAGCACAGGAATCCCCGACGATAAAGTGGCACACTCCCTACACAATTACTACTCCAGCGCATCTTTTAACAGAAAAATTGTTCTACCCTTAGGTGAAACCAATGTTCCTCAAGAACAATAAAAGTTAGAATGTATATTTTGACTATGTTTCATTTAATGTAAAAATGTATACTGGGATTTAAAAAAGGCCTTCTAGTCGACTACAAGAACAAGATACCTATACAGTACGAATTTGCTCCCCCTGAGTTTGGTGTTTGAAGCCTTTAAAATAAATGTTATTTGCATATATGTTTAGGGTGTTTACTTTGTATCAACCAAGTATCTCAAACTAGAAAGTATTGTTTTTTAATGGCAGACTAAAACTGGCTTGTACAGATACAATCCACTCATTACACATTGTTTGCCAAAATAAGTCCAGTTTACTTGGATAATGTGTTTAATTTCTGAAACAGTTTTGGGTAAAGAAGGTGGCTAGAAGTTTTAATTGGATCGACTGTAATAGGTTACGTGCCAGTAGCTAATGGCTAAACTCAAATTGCCTCATCTCAACTTTACAATCGTAAACACCTAAAACAATTTTACTTCCAATTAAGCTTAACTTGATTTAAGGAATTGTTAATGAAAAAATTCTTGCAAACGTGAATGAAAGATATTAAAATAAATACTAACTATCTTTACCAGTATATAATCATACAGAAGTATAAAGTATTATAAAACGTTTTTATTAGCTCTCTTTCTTGTCTGGTACAAATTTTGCAATCGATTTTAAACTAACTTTCAGATGAACTAGAGACTTGAAACGTGAAACATAGCTCACAAATGGATGACAATGCATTATTAAATCATTTTATTTTCATATTTCTCTTGGGCTACGCCATTGAATATGGCTACGCCCCATGGGCTTGTTTTTGTTAGCTCACTTTCTTGTCCGGTACAAATTTTTCACTTGATTTCCCCATGAGCTAGAGACCTGAAACTTAGCCCACAAATGGATGACAATGCAATATTATATCATTTTATTTTCATATTTCCTTTGGGATATGCCCCATGAGCTTCCAAAGTTTCTATGTTTACATTTTGGAAGAATGTAAATAGTCAAATATATTAATTTATTGAAGTCAGCTGTAAATACTTAAATTTGACAGGTCAAAGAGCAGAGGTTAAGAGGTATAGGTTCTGCTCCAATAATAAGGTCCTATAATAAGGTGTTGGTTATGTATTAACAGGTCTTATAAAATAGATTTAACATATTTACACATCAAAGACTAAAAAGTAAAAAATTATTTATAAATAATAAAAACCCTTAAAAAAATACCACGTTTTTAAACGTACTAAGGAAATCTATATCTATAAAAGAGGAACTATGTATGTGTGTGTGTGTATATATATATATATATGTATATACGTTATGGACTCCAAAACCGCTCGACAGATTGTAATGAAACTTTCAGGCATTATGAAGCATCTTTCAAGGATGGTTCGAGTGAAGTTTGGTGCAGATCTGTCAAAAGGGCTCTGCCCCAGAGGGTTTTAAGTGGGCCAATGTCAGACTTTTTGATCTACAATGTTTACAAATAAATATAACTAGTAAACACGTTGCTCGAAATCGAGCAATTGCAAAGAAGTAAAGTAGTTATTTAAAAACAAATAAAAGTCATCATAATTTCCAATGAGTTTAAAAGACTTAAAATAAATCACAGCAATTAAATTATACAGCTGATAAAAATGTAAACAATTATGTTCTTCATAAGGATAACATGGGAACTTTAACAGCAACTGGGGCAGAGCCCAAGGGACTTTTTCAAAAATGTAAGGTCAGTTTGCAAATCTACGCGACACGCTCTTTCCAAGAGACGTCAATGGATAAAATCGGTTTAGAAATGGCGGAGGAGTTCAACCGACAAAGTTTCATGTAGCGTATTAGTTATATAGATTTAAAAGCAGATGTTTACTTTCACCAACTGCTTTGTAGGTTTGAATAATTACAACATTCTGTATTAGCATTAGTCATGATTTGAAATAGTGCCACAGTGTTTCTACAGAGTGCAGCACAGAAAACTATTTTACTTTTGAATAAGTCCAAATGTATTAAACCCCAATCGCAGCACACCTGTGCACTTAACAACGTTTAAATTCTCCAATGTTAAATATTAAAACATAAAAACCTTTATCAAAGTATTATAAACAATAAAAGGGATGACTTTTTAAAATTTACGACAACAGCTAATTTGCAAGCAAAAGGTGAGTGAGCGTAGCGAACCAACATCAACCTGGAGGCGAGTTAGCGTAGCGAACGAGCTAACCTGAAAACAAGTGAGCGCAGCGAACGAGCTCCAACCTAAAGGTGAGTGAGCGTAGCGAACGAACTTCAACCGGGACGTGATTGAGCCATGCGAATACTTATGAAGTTAAACGGGACAAAGCCCATGGGTACAGCTAGTAATTTATAAATATGTGGAGCAAAAATACTTGTAAGATTTCAAACAAAAAACGTGGGGTGCATGCAATAGATAATAATAGTTCAATAGGTAAAGAAAATTGAAATTATATTTATTTAAAAAGTGTTTTATTTATAAGTTACTAGTGTACATGTTGCTCGAATTCGAGCAATTGCAAAGTATTACAGGAGTTATTTCAAAACAAATAACAGTCATATTTACAATGAGTTTAAAAGAGTCAACTCTAAAGATTACCAGTGAGTAACTTAGACCATGTTTATATTTGTTATTGATAAACCTAAAGCATTCCGGCCGGTTTTCTCCTTCTCAAAATGCCTCGCTGTACAGGCAACACAGGTCATTGATAGAGGGCCAATTGAGAACGAAAAGTTGTTTTGGAGTAGTGTTAGGGTGCATTTGTATCCTAATAGTTGAGATTGTCCAGGGTCAGGTGCTGACTGTGATGAGTGAAACGTTAAAGCCTATTACGCGCCACTGTTCTGTAGCTGCGGTCGTTATCACGATTACGTCTCCTGCCTATGTTTCGCGTTGTCGTCGCGTCGGAGGCATTTAAAAGAAAGAAACAACAAATAAACAAATTATAGCTACACAAGACAACAATACATGCACAAATTAAAGTTACGATCAAGCTAACACAATCCGTCATAGCAACACAAAACAACGATAAATACACAAATTTAAGATACAACCATACTAACACCATCAAACTTGGGGGTTATGTTTTCACAAACTCAAATAGTAAATAAATGTACTCAATGCGTTACGAATTGAAAAATAAATAACAGCAATTAAATTATACAGCTGATCAAAATGTAAACAATTAAGTTCTCCATAAGGATAACATGGGAACTTTCAAACCCACTGGGGCAGAGCCCAAGGGATTTTTTCAAAAATGTAATGCCAGTTTGCAAATCTACGCGACACGCTCTTTCCAGTGAGACGTCAATGGATAAAATCGGTTAAGAAATGGCGGAGGAGTTCAACCAACAAAGTTTCATGTAGCGTATTAATTATATAGATTTTAATACTTTCTTCCAATTTAGAGCTTCATTAAATGTTTAACTTCAGGTCTTATTATCATTGTTACCAGTCCCTCTTAAATACAAAATTATGAACAGCAGTAAATGATGTATTCAAACATTTATTGTTTCAAGGTGGAATTACTCATATCCTCGATAAAAAAAAAAACAGAAATATAAATTAATTAATAAATACAGAAATAGTTTTTTTCTGGACTTTACAACATTAACCTCTTTAGTAGATTAGTAAAATTTGCTTCGATGGGTGTAACTTTTGGGACATTAACATCATACTCAACCGACAAAGTGACTTTTTGGAGGATCTTTTACTCCACCTTTAATTATCTGTGGTGGCGAAGCACAACTTTTCTATGGTGACTTGAAAAATTCAAAAACGTCTCCTGCAAACTCATAAGAATCTTCCAAAGAATTATCGGATAAATCAGACGTGTTATCTTGTGATGTAAATTCATCTTCATTGGAAAGTATTGAATGATCATCGCTATCGTCAATGAATTCATCAGTTCGATAGTGGCCTTTGTGAGGGGGAGGACGAGGCTTAGTTGGCTTATTCCCATACGATTTTCCTTGACTTCTAAGATATCCGTAATATGAAGGGTCATCATCGTCTCCTGTGAATACTGGTCCATGATGTGAAGGCTCATGCTCATCGTCTCCTGTGAATACTGGTCCATGATGTGAAGGCTCATGCTCATCGTCTCCTGTGAATACTGGTCCATGATGTGAAGGCTCATGCTCATCGTCTCCTGTGAATACTGGTCCATGATGTGAAGGCTCATGCTCATCGTCTCCTGTGAATACTGGTCCATGATGTGAAGGCTTTTTATCTTGGGAAAATCCTACTTTCACCAGCCCCACAACTGCAAAAAAGGTTTTAGAATTGAATAATCAAAATCTTTAAAAATCAATTAGTAGAACTTTCGGCTTATAGATTATCCATAAACCTCATATTAATTGCTCTGGTGTGAGTCAAGGCAGTTTTACATTTTTTTTGTTTGTTTACCAACTAACCAAGTTAAGTATACAGGGTGACAATTAGTCTTAATTAGGAAGAATTTATAACTTTAAAACAAAAAAAGATATCACAACCAAATTTTGCATATCATTACTGGTCATTAAGCTACTTTTTTGGGTACATGGTGATCGGATGTCACCTATGGGGGACGGCCCATAGGGAGTAAGTTAAAAACCCTTAAAGGTAAGCATAGGTTGACACATGCATAATACCATTGACTTTGTATAAAGTCAATGATAATACTAAAAGTCTTGTTGAACAAAAAACCATGCTGCAAACCAGATCTCAAAAGGACAATCAAGTAAAAATGACAGCTGTTCAAAGATTCATTGAATTTGTAATGCTACCTCCTCAGGCCCTCAAGACGAAAGAAAATCATAAACGTACGCATAGGTCCTTTAAGTAAACATGACCTTTCTATTTGGTTTTAAAATTAGCTTGTCAAACATTTTACAAATATAAAAATATATCAACCATTACTGGACATAATAATCCTTTGAAATTGTTTTAAACTTATCCAAATGATAAATCTATGGAAGAGTATGTTTAATCAAAGTCTATATGATTTAATCTAAGAAAATACTAATTTGTCAACGTAACAGTGAAGTTTTGAATGATGTGATTGTAAAATTGTTACTGTAAAAATTTACTTACGGACCACAGCGAACAATATACTTGAATATCTCATTGCCAATAATTATCACAATCTCAAAGATTTATTGATAATATAGCTTCCTTTAAGTAGTACAAAGTCAAAGACTTAATATCATCAAAAGTTAACTGTCAAAATTTATGATGCATAGAACCAATAATATTTAATTAAAACCCATTATTTCAAGAAAACACAATTATGGTGATTGCATTGTTAGACTGAAAAATTGCGAGCATCATAAAACATTGTAATGGGTGCAGCAGTTAAATTACAAGATTTGAAATTTTAGAGAATATGATTTGAAAGCTTGCACAATTGATTAAGCAACATAGCTTAAGACTGTACAGGGTGTTTTTTACACAACCCAAATCACAAGTATACCGAGAGACACTGTTACTATGGTGATTGTAAGCAACAATATGGCTTTTCGGAGTCTTTGTGAGTGTTTTTACTATGTATTCGTGTTTGTAGAAACCACAAGAAACGTCTCCATGGGTGGTCCATGAACCTAATTCAGGTTACATCAATAATAAAACACCAAGTTACAAAGAAATCTGTTTCTATTTATTTCAACAAAAAAACTTTTGAAATATCAACAATTAAACCAAAAAGACATTTATTACTACTCAAAGTCTGTTTGTAAGTTCATGGAATCGGAATGTAGCCTAATTGTTTTCAACATGATGACAGGTAGACATGTGTACCACTAGTGAGTGGTACTGTTTGCAGAGGATAAATATAATTACCTAATTATACATAATCTAATATATAAAATTCTCGTGTCACAGTGTTTGTCTGCAAACTCCTCCGGAACGACTTCACCGATCGTTATGAAATTTGGTGTGTAAATTCTGTAGGTATGCGAATCGGACGTAAACTATTTCCCGTTTCGAAATTCTTAAAAGGGCTCCGCCCCAGTGGCTCTGGAGTTTCCCATGTTAACCTTATGAGAAATGGAATTAATGAATCTTAACAGCTGTTTCAATTAAACAAGTTGGTTCTGTTCTATGATGTTCAATAGCATTAAAGTTACAAGGATTACCAACAGGGTGCAGCACTATTATTTCTTTTACATTTATGACAACAGCTAATTTGCAACCAAAAGGTGAGTGAGCGTAGCGAACGAACTTCAACCTGGAGGCGAGTTAGCGTAGCGAACGAGCTAACCTGAAGGCAAGTGAGCGCAGCGAACGAGCTCCAACCTAAAGGTGAGTGAGCGTAGCGAACGAGCTCCAACCCAAAGGTGAGTGAGCGTAGCGAACGAACTTCAACCAGGACGAGATTGAGCGATGCGAACGAGATCATCTTGAAAATTAAACGTAACGGTACTTAAATTATAAATTGTCAAAGGCAAGACAACGTCTGCCGGGTCGGTCTGTCTTAGGGGAAACCTATAACTTAGGCGATACGAAGTTCGCCGGGTCAGCTAGTTATTCCTATAAAAACACTTTGGTTTTCTTGTTTTCTTGAAAGTATGGTAATTTGAACACAAATTTACTTTATTTGGCTGAAATTTCATTCGTGTGCCACGTCAGGGAATGTGTTAATAAATGTACATATGGAAATATCATTATTATAACGAATTTTTCAAGCACCTTGTTAATTTATAACACTATATTATTGGATCTTACTATTTTATCTATATATATAAAGTCCAATGTATGTTTGTTTGTATGTTTGTTTGTTTGTTTGTCCTTTATGGATTCCGAAACCGCTCGACAGATTGTAATGAAACTTTCAGGCATTATTAAGCATTATTCAAGGTTGGTTTTTGTGAAGTTTGGTGCAGATCCGTCATAAGGGTCTCCGCCCCAGTCGCTCTGGAGTTTCCCATGTTAACCTTAAAATGGAATTAAAGAATCTAGGCGCCTTAAAATAAGAAAATAAATAGCAAAACCTAGAAATAATTAGAACACAGATGAAACCATTGTTGTTCAATAGTGCAAAGTATTGTGAATAACATATGAAAAGTCTCCAAAAATATCTTTGGTGGAACACCACCATTTTTCCAAAATGGCGGCCAAATCCAGTAGTTTTTTGCTTTTTATTGAAATTCTGATTTTCCAGTCAAAATTGGTGAAAAGTCGTCAATACATTTAATGTTCCTCGTGAAATTACCTTTAAAATGATACCAAATACATGTACCTACAACAAAAGATAAACCCCGTAGAAATAATAAAATATTTCAAATAAATTTTTTTTTATAAATTAATTGAATAGTCCAAACAAACTAAAAATAACGTACACAGGGATCGTATAAAAATTTGCAAGTAAACATGTTATGGTTTTTTTTTATTGTTGTGGTGTGCAGAGTGACATACCAAAAGTTGCAAAAAATCAGTCCACGGGAAACCCCTAAATTAAGGAAAAAATGGCGGCTTTTCCCAATATTGGACAAATTTTGCAACAAAAGATACCTCATGTTTTTTTGAACATTTTTCGAGATATTGACTTGGAACCACGACCGATATTTATTGGATAGTCCGTACTTAATTTCAATAGGGGACGCTTTTTGGGCCGCCATCTTGGATCAGCCATATTGGATCCGCCATATTGGATATAAATATTTTTTAATGTAATTATAGTGTTGTGACACATCATTATGAACTAGATTTCCACGCTGATTTCAATGCTGAAATCAGTTTTTTAAATATCGTTTTACGATTTTAAGATATATAAAAACTATAACTCTCTCCCATACATTTCTTATGGACGTTTCGTACTTTGACAATTTAAAAACACATTGATAACTACCACAGTCTAAGGTTGTACTATCAGGTTCAAGTATGGCGTGGAAATAGTTCACCAGCAGATCCAACAGATTGGGAGTGGTGTTTGACTGATGGTACATATTATTATATAACTTACTTATAAATAACTGTACTTATAAATAACCGTATCTGTGTAACTTGGAAATTATATTTAGATAAATATAGGATATGGCCTTTAAAAAAATTCAACAAAACGTTTTATGGTTTTATTTTGTAGTGTTGTGCAGAGTGAAAACGGGAAAAACTCGTCATAGCTATTCGTTCAAGTATTGACTTTTATTTTAGCTATGGATTCCTTATTGGAAGTTATTTTGAATTGGGGATAAATGTCTTTAACTAAAGACAAATTTCAAAATATCAATAATTCATTCAATAGTTCATTGAAGGTAGGCCTACATGATTCATTTAAATTTGTCATGTGCCATTTAATAATCAATAAAATTAAAGCCAAACATTTACTGAGTACTTTGATACCAGAATGAACTTGTTAACATATTAACAACCCGAGATATAAATCTTTTAACAAAAACTGATAAAAAAAGTTTAATTTAATGTTGTGTTGGGGTTTGTACCTCGTCTATAACTAGTCTGTTTTAATAAAATAAATAAATAAAAAATAAAAAATAAATAAAACAAAATGAAAGCCAACTAAAATGAAAGATCTTTTATCACTGAATATTTTAAGGCTAGAACGAACTGCAAGCAATAATAATACCTGGAGAAAAATAATCCAAACACATTTTCAAAGTAACTTACGATACGTCCATAACTGATGTATAGGGGAGAGTTTTCGTTTTGATATATCTTAAGCAACGGAAAAACTTATTTAAAAACGGATTTCAGCATTGAAATCAGCGTGGAAATGTAGTTCATAATGATGTGTCACAACACTATAATTACATTAAAAAATATTTATATCCAATATAGCAGATCCAATATGGCTGAACCAAAATGGCGGCCCAAAAAGCGATCCCTATTGAAATTAAGTACGGACCATCCAATAAATATCGGTCGTGGTTCCAAGTCAATATCTCGAAAAATGTTCAAAAAAACATGTGGTATCTTTTGTTGCAAAATTTGTCCAATATTGGGAAAAGCCGCCATTTTTTCCTTAATTTAGGGGTTTCCCGTGGACTGATTTTTTGCAACTTTTGGTATGTCACTCTGCACACTACAACAATAAAAATAAAACCATAAAATGTTTACTTGCAAATTTTTATACGATCCCTGTGTCTGTTTTTTTTTTAGTTTGCTTGGACTATTACATTAATTTATAACAAATATTTTTATTTGAAATATTTTATTATTTCTACAGGGTTTATTTTTTGTTGTAGGTACATGTATTTGGTATCATTTTAAAGGTAATTTCAGGAGGAACATTAAATGTGTTGACGACTTTTCACCAATATTGACTGGAAAGTCAGAATTTCAATAAAAAGCAAAAAACTACTGGATTTGGCCGCCATTTTGGAAAAGTGGTGGTCTTCCACCAAAGATATTTTTGGAGACTTTTGATATGTTATTCACAATACTTTTCACTATCGAACAACAATGGTTTCATCTGTGTTCTAATTATTTCTAGGTCAAACCATATATTTAGGGGCCTAATCCTAACAGCTGGTTCAACTAAACAATTTGATAAGACATAAGACATAAGATATTTATTGCCGTTGATCATTTTTACATGAGATGGGCATGGTCAACATAAATATACAGGGTGTGAGTTTTAATTGTCCCCCCCCTAACTTTTTTCTACATTTTTTCAAATATCAATCCCAGACCACTTCCAAACATTGTTGGGTAGTAAGTACTTCATTTTGACAAGGTGGTCATTTCCGGCCGCCATCTTGGATCCGCCATATTGGATGCAAATTTTTTTTCAAATGTAAAGGTGGGGTTGTGACCCATTATTTCAAACTACATTTTTACCCTGATTACAATGCCACAAACCGTTTTTAAAAATCATTATTCATTTTAAAGTTATGAGGGCTTTTTAAAACTTTATTTTTAGCCCATTTTAACATTGTGCATTTACAAACTAAGACCATAATCTCAAAAAAGTGCTAGATAAAAATAAGTATACACTACCAGTAATTGTCGACCTATTTTCACTTGGTTATGACTGATGTATTTTTTTCGGCCGCCATCTTGGATCCACCATTTTGAAATGTGATAAATTATTTTAAATATGAAGAGGGTGTTGTGACCTATCATTTTGAATTACTTTTTTAAGCTTAACTCAATGCCGCAATCTATTTTTTGTTATCAAGTTTTATTTATGAAATATTGCAATTTTGTTGTTAAAAATGTCAATATTTCAAAATAAAAAAATGAAAATGA